TTTCCGGACGGATATGACTTAGGGACCTTCAAGAAAAAAGCTTACTTATTTCTAAAAGGCCAGCGACACACCTGTAATTCCTCTGGTGTTGCATTTGTTCATGGGTGGCGGTAGTTATTTTACATCAGCCCAGCCGTATGCTCGTTTGCCCCCTCTACTATGAAAAGACATAATGATAAATTTTGGTGGTATTGTTAGCCACTTGTTTCAGCAGGGTTACCCTACCTACTGAGTTAAAAGCATTGCTTAAGTTAAACTTTGTAAGAACATCTGCATCAGAATTTGTTAAAAAATGTGCAAAGAATGCACCGCTACCTCACAGCCAACTTTAGTGCCAAAGTCTAGTAGAGTAGGCTCAAAATTTCTCTTAAAGTTTGAATATGTGCCTGCAAGCTAGTTTTGAAGTTAAGTGTCGAAATGTGAACCTACGGCAAAAAGACGGCTACTGTTATCCTTTTTAGAGGGCAAAAAATCTTGCATAAAATTACATAATTTTGTAACGCTATTTAGAAGTACTCTACCAGCTTCAACAACAGACAGAGAGGCAGACGCGCTTACAAGATATTGAGGCGTGATTCCGTCAATACCCGCAGAACCATTGTAAAATGATGAGATGGCTTCTAAAGTGGGTCTTTCAAAAATTTTTGAAAGTTGCAAATTCTGAGAAGTATTAACCGAAAGATGTTTCTGACGAAAGCCTTCAAGATTTTCGATATCATAGGGAGCTAGGATGTCGTCTCAGAATAGAATACGGGATGTATTTTTTAAGTTGCCATCTATTACTTTCTACTCAACTATTTTTTTAAATCAACTTTAGGACAAAGTCGAGATAAATGAGTATTAATTGGGTAATCTAAATTTTGAAAAGAAGTCTTTTAGATGAGACGTTTACAATAAGTGAAACAATTTCGAATAGTGCATAACAGTGCTTTAGCAAGTTGAATCCTCGCAACTCTGAGAATTCTCTTAACCACTGGTATATTACGGTGATAATTGTAAATTTGTTCCGAAAAAACAGAAAAAATTGTGTTATTAGAGATATTATGACCTTACATATTAAAATGTGCGTTTTGTACGGGAGGAATATAAAATCATTTTTATGGAAAATATATTTAATTAATCAAAGTAATTTGTTGTTATCTATACACTTTTGCCATCTCATAGGTAGTTCATTGATCCCTTTGATAAAAAAACACGGGGGCCAAAAAATCAAACAACGGCAAGAATCAGTAAACTATTTAAATGCGGTTTGGACTGCCGCATCGAAGTTGAATATTTTTCTTTGTAAGAAGTCGTTCAAATTCCGGAAAAAATGGTAATCTGTTGGAGCAAGGTCCGTGGAGTGCGGTGTATGTCGCAGACATTCCAATTGTAGCTCATCTTAGTGGTTTTTTGTTGTGCAGTGTGTGGTCTTGCGTTGTCGTGAAGCAGCAGTGGCCTAGAGCGATTGACCAATCTCGGTTGTTTAGCAGCTTCCTTCATGCTTTGCAGTTGCTGACAATAGACATCTGCCGTAATCGTTTGGCCAGATTTCAGAAAACTGTAATGAACGATACCGGCGTTAGTCCACCAAACACTCACAAGTAACTTTTTCTGAGTCAATTTTCTTTTAGGGCAAGATTTGGCTGAGTCTCCAGGATTCAGCCATTACGATGAGGGCTTCCGATTATCGTACAGTATCCACTTTTCATAACAAGTAATGATTCGATTTAAAATCCCTTCATTTTTGTGTCGGTTGAGCAAAGTAACACAGCAGTCGACGCGTGTTTGCAAGTTCGATTCACTCAATTCATGAGGTACCCATCGTTTAAGTTTTTTACTTTCCCGCTTTGCTTCAAGTGCATTAATACAGTTTTATCACTTACCCCGACATAGCCTGCAACTACCTCAGAAGTGCTTTATGCTGGATCCGCTACCACAATAGCCTTTAATTCTTCATTTTCCACTTTGGTCTCCACCCGTCCACGGGATTGGTTCTGAAGGTCGAAATTTCCAGAACGAAAACGTTGAAACCAAAAACGTACCATGCTTTATTTTGCGACACCAGCGTCGTACACATAATTAATCCTTCGAGATGTTTCTGCAGCACAGGTGCCACGGTAGAACTCGTACTCGTAAATATACCGATATTTCATGTTTTCCATTGTGCGGTAATAAGCGACACCAAAGAAAAAAATAATGAGGAAAAACTGAGGACTACGATGGAACACCACGTTTCCAGTAAAAAATGTCCCCGTTTTTCTACACTCATCATACTAAACACAGCAGCAATAAGCTGCTATTTAACGCTGGTATTCTGTGGGAGTGATCTTTCCCCGGTTTAGCCGACTCATTTTTTGTTACAATTATAATACAGCTACAGCGTAGCTCCATAACATAAAAATAATTTACAAAACCTAAAAACAATTTGGCAATGAACCTCGTAAGCGAATCATAGGGTTGTCCCTGTTTAGATATTGTGATGACCTAGTGGGATATACAGGAAATCGATGGAATCGGGTATCAGTTATTAATTCTATAACAAAAGTGGTTTGGGAGTTCGTTTACACTTAAGTGATACTCGCTTGCTTCCCTGGACGCACGATAATAATTTATTGCGGAACCTAGATCTAAAATATCAAGAAATAATTTTTTTGGATTGGACTATCTTAAAATACGTTCTTGATGAGTGTCTAAATAGCGAAATAAGTAATTATACTAAACTTCAAGTCAATCGGATGTATAGTTTTGGAGATCTCGTGATGAGACCGCCAGTCAGTAGTATTTCGCTTATATGTAGATATCTGCATTTATCTATAATTTATATATATATATATATATATATATATATATATATATATATATATATATATGTGTGTGTGTGTGTGTGTGTGTAAACTGTGAGTAACTTTTGATTCATCAGTCAGTCGTAGTCCAAAGTTATAAAAAACTAATTTTAAATCCAATGTTAAGTATAAATACAAGAATACAATACTTGCACGGTTCAGTTATGTTGAAGAAAATTCCACACATAACCGCGTCCATTGTAAATAAACAGATAGTGTATTTTGAAATCTAATGACTAGGGTAAAATGATTGCGAAACTATATTTCTTAGTATTTTTAATTAATAAGTGCATGGGAGTAATTCATCATTTAAACGGTAAGTTTCATATCACGCTAATAGCAAAGTAGGTAGTTATTTAAATTAACAGTTTCCCTATCCGCTATACGAGTATATACACAATAGTTGAACAATAGAAATGTTTATATATGATTCTTGGGACAGTTTCAGTTTCAGTTAATAAAGTAGTCGGTTCCTTAAAATACATATGTTTGTGATCTACGAATTTTAAAATTTTATTTTTCTTAAACTATTGTCTTTAGTCATACCATGGATCAATTGTATACTAAGTTTTCATATAGAAGGGTAAGGGTAAGGGTGACAAACGAGCACACAGTCCACCTGATAGTAAGTGGATACTGTGGCCCATAGACATCTACATTTATCTTCAATTAAGAATCAAAATACAGAAACGTTGCCAGCCCTGAGGACTGTGTTGGAATGCCTCGTTTCCAGTAAAATGGGTCGCCGGTTCTCTACATTCACCACGGTTCATATACGGAACACAGCAGCATTAAGCTGCTATTTTACTCTGATATTCTGTCAGAGCGTGGTTCTACCCTGGTCGAGCTGACCCATTCGTGCTGCAACCACAATATGGCTGCAGAATGGCTCTACCACGTAGAAAAGGGGTCACTCCCTTATTCGAAAACATAAAGTACAAAATATTTAATTTTAATATTTTTCAAATAACATGAATACTTTAAAGTTAATGTATACCATACATAGCCTACCTTGTAATACCGCTAAACTACTTTCATATTTTTGTAAAATTGTACGCTAGGTTTTAATTAAAAAAAATTAACAATTTGAAGTCATAACAAATTCAAACATTAAATGATCGTACTGAAAACCTGACTTTTCATTACGGCCTTAACTTTACCCCCACACTATGATATTCTCCTGTACAGTGGAGGTAGTTTACATACATAAAGTTCACAAAGACAAACTTCCAGATCGGGAACAATTATTTGTAAGTCATAAAAATATACTTGTTCCGTACGGGACTCGAGCCCGCGGCCCTCAGCGCAGCAACCCATTGCTTAGCTACTGTGCCACGGAGCCATCACCTTATAAAACGTAGGTGACGGTATAGACATCTATACTGATAGTTTACTTCTTCATCTTTATCCACCCGTAAAAAATTTCTGGTGGACATACGTCTCTCCCAATGTAGAGAGGATTTGTTACGGATTCTAAGCGGATTGGCGATTACAGTACAACGCCCGACGCGTTGGTACTTTGACGCTGCTGACCATCGCCGGCCTGAGAGTACATCTCTTACATCTGTCGTAAACCATTTGCTTATACCACCATCCAACGGAAGCCATGAGAATTTAATTAAACTTTCCAGAGTCACTTCTTACGACACTCTCGGGTTCAATCATGAAGTAAGGTGTCCGCTAACATGCACTCGCTGCTCCAGTTCCATTCATTAATTCCTCTAAAATGCGTAAAATTAACAATATTCAAAGTGGTAAATTACCGTGTGAAATCATTATGTTAATTACGTATAAACTTAAATAACTTTGAATAAAATTAAATATAAATATATTATACGAAAATAAACTTCACACCATTTGTGTACACTTTATTATTATTTTAGTATAATTAGGTAGTTAAGCATGAATATTTTAATTCAATAAAAACTAATAAACAACACTGAAGGTTATTAATTTTTTAATGTACTACTATTACGGAAAATGCTTATATCTTAGTTAAACCCACAGAGAAACCTAGCGAGATATTTTTTATATCGAGAGACAGTAGTGTGTGAGCTCACAAATCCACTGCGAAACAAAGGCCTTTCATATAGATTACTGTGTACCATATCCTTATTAAGTCCAGTAGGATACAAAAATTTATATTATTTGCTTGCAGACTCGGAGTACCATCGTATGCCTGCGCTGTTTGCGTTAGACGATTATCAATTTTGTATGAGTCATCTTGAAGGTGTTTACTGCCTGGCAAGATTTGACTTGCACTCTGATCATCCAAATGAACTTATTACACTTATTAAAGTTAGTATTATCAACTTTAAATGCTTTTACGCTGGACACTGACTTTTAATCGCATTTTATAGCATTAGATTACAAATGAGTACACAGTCCACTTGATCATCCTTGATAAATAATTAAAATTCATATGAATTGTGACACTTAAGAACTTAGAAAATTAAGATTATGGGGTTTATTGGCACGAAGAATTAAAACTGTTACTTTGTAGTAAATAAAATAAAATAAAAGATACATGCAATGGTAGAAAACTTTTCAGGTGTTTTTTAATTCATAAAATTTTTTTAATCTAAGAAAATGACCAGTTTGATGAGAATATACAAAAAAAATATTTAAAATGAAATCAATTACAATTTTAGGAATATTCGAAGTATCAAAAAAAGCATTACAATCATTCTCACGTAGAAAGAGGTATCTGTGTGACTAAAACGTGTAGAATGTTTTGCGAGGACAAAGATTTAAGAAAAGAAGTGGACCTAACTGATAGCCTTGAGAAGTGCTTTAATAAATCCATGTGGGAGGACTACGAGTTGAAAGCTAAATTATCTATGATATACTATTGTGATACATACAGTGAAGAAGAAGAAATCGATTCTAGGGATAGAATTTTTATGACAACCATAATTTTCATATTAATTTTAAATATAGCTGGAAACTGTTATGATATATATGTCAAGAAAACGGGACGAAATTTAAATGGGCTAGGTAAGTAAAGACTTTGCGTCTAAATTAATTTAATATTTTATTATTTTACGATATTTTCCATAACTAATAAAAGCTTGGTTTCCTCTTTACGTACTTACACACCACTTGTATTAGAAGGAGCACTACGATATAATTCAGTCAATAAAGTTACGGTAAAATATCACATTCATTGTCTTCAATCAGATAAAATTAAACAAAAACGATAACGGTAAAATTATTACTTACAAATATTCATAAATAGGAGCTACGTAATAATTACTGATAACACTTACTAAATTCTTTCTGCGGAAGTCAGATCAAAAGTCATTAATATTAGTTTCACATTACATCCGCACCTTGAACACATTAGTTCCCTCGTGATCTCGTGAAAATGGCCGCCTGGAAGTACTCATAACTTCGTTTGCATCAAAATAAATTAATTAACCGCGATAAAATTCATAAAACCTTTTTTCATTCACTGTACGTAGTGTTCCAGTAAATTTAAGAAATTATTAATCACGAAATTGAATTTGGAAAAATTGGTTCTTATGACTATTTTTATATTTGGATATATTCTCTTTCGAATCAGATGAGAGTTGTACTTTAGGAACTTGTGTTTTTGATAAGAATATTTAAAAAATATATAATTTTCTGTCAATATCTATAGAATCTGTGAAAAATCAAACGTACATTACAAAGGGCGCTTTGAGCTAGTTTCACCTCTAAATTTTGTTTCCAAAGCCCGAATTAAATTATCAAACACTAAGTTACGCAGTTTAGGGCGGGTGAGAATATCCACTACCCCATATCTTCCCGTGGGTGTCGTAAGAGGCGACAGAGGGAGACAGGCAGGAGATGGGCAGCAGCATTTTCCTGATAACAACTGTAATATAATAAAAAACTTCGGTTGCCAACGCGCTCGCCAAGCGTAACAACTATGGCAAATATCCCTCCACGAATAACGAAGCAAACAAACGGCCCCCAGTCCCCGGCGGACCCACTATTCCTGGCTACAGTGGCGACCATGGTAACGGCGGGGCAGGGGGTGCTAAGAATCTCCGATGGAGGTTCGGTTGCCACCTACGACGACTCGACCTGGCAACATATAACGGAAGCACCCTGAGGACTGACGAGAAGATACTGGAGCTGGAAGAAGAGGTAGACAAGTTGCACTGGCATATTATTGGATTATCCGAGGTCCGAAGAGAGGGGGAGGACACGGCAATCCTCGAGTCCGGCAACTTGTTCCATCACCGGGAGGGCGACCATCTGTCCCAAGGAGGTGTCGGATTTATCGTCCACAAGTCTCTCGTCAACAACGTTGTAAAGATTGGGAGTGTGTCGACAAGGGTCGCGTACCTGATACTCAGAATCACCAAACGCTATTCGCTGAAGGTCATACAGGTTTACGCACCAACCTCGGCACATCCCGATGAGAGGTGGAGGAAATGTATGAGGATATTTCCAGAGCCATGCATTCCTCCAAAACCCACTACACGGTGTTGATGGGAGACTTCAATGCAAAACTAGGCACAAGAGAAAGCGGTGAGCTGAAGGTAGGGAAATTTGGTGAAGGGCAACGGAACCCAAGGGCCAGCAGCTGGCCGTCTTTATGATGAACTCTTTCTTTCAGAAGCAGCCCCACAGTAAGTGGACCTGGTCGAGCCCCGACGGTTCGACAAAAAATGAGATTGACTTCATTATGACGACCAGACGCCAACTGTACAGTGATGTCTCAGTGATCGCAAGGGTAAAAACTGGCAGCGATCACCGAATGCTTAGAGGCACACTGAACCTAAACGTTAAGTTGGAGAGGTCTCGTCTAATGAAGTCAACGCCCCGTCCCCCCTCGTGCTCTAATCCAGAATCCCGAAACCTTTCAGCTTGAGTTACAAAACCGCTTTCAGTGCCTAGAAGATTGCAATGTAGTGGACGATATGAATGACAAGCTCGTGAAAACTGTCCATGCGGTCGGAGCTAAGTTCTGCAAGAACCGCCGCAGAAGAACACAAAAACTCTCCGATCACACTCCTAATCTCATGGCTGTTAGACGGGAGATGAGGCTGCAATCGTCAACAGATTTGACAGCATACAGGCAACTGAACAGACAGATATCTAAATGCATGCGGCGAGACTTACGCAACTTTAATACTGCTCGTATTAAAGAAGCGATCGAGCGGAACCAGGCTCCAAAGTCTTTGCCAGAGATCTGTTTGCCAGAAAAAGCCAACTGTCAAAGCTGAAGACTGAGTGTGGCAACATCGTTTCCGGGAGACCTGAGATTCTGAGAGAGACTGAGAGGTTTTATGGGCAGCTGTACACATTATCGTTGGAGCCACACGCAAGTGTGAGTAACGATCCAAGTCTTATCCGACACTATTCCGATGATATCCCGGACGTCAGTCTGAACGAGATTAGAATGGCTCTCCACCACCTTAAAAACGGCAAAGCCCCGGGCGAGGACGGAATTACAGCGGAGCTTCTGAAAGCGGGTGGAACACCGGTACTTGAAATCCTTCAAAAGCTCTTCAATTCCGTCCTCCATGGTGGCACTACTCCGGAGGCGTGGAGCAGAAAGGCGGTGGTCTTGTTCTTTAAGAAATGTGACATCGCTCTCTTGAAGAACTATAGACCGATTTCCCTTCTGAGCCGCGTCTACGTGCTGTTTTTGAGAGAACCAAGATACATACAAAACGCCTGGGTATTGGACATAAAAAGCCTTTGATTCCGTCGAAATTTGGGCGGTGCTACAGTCCCTTCAGCGGTGCCAAGTTGACTGTCGGTATATCGAAGTGCTGAAGTGTTTGTACAGTAGGGCTACGATGGCTATCCGAGTACAGAACCAGAGTTCGAAACCTATCCAACTGCAGAGAGGTGTAAGACAGGGTGACGTTATGTCCCCAAAACTCTTCACCGCTGCGTTGGAAGACGTTTCCAAGCTACTGGACTTGAAAGGATACAGTATTAACATCAATGGCGAGTAGATCACTCATCTTCGATTTGCCGACGATATAGTCCATATGGCAGAATCGCTGGAGGACCTTAGCACTATGCTCAATGACCTCAATGGTGTCTCCCAACGGATAGGTCTTAAGATGAACATGGACAAAACAAAGATCATGTTTAATGTCCATGTCACACCTATGCCGGTAGTTGTTGGGAGCACTATGCTCGAAGTTGTTGACGAGTACGTTTACCTGGGACAAATAGTCCGACTAGGTAAGTCCAACTTCGACCGAGAGGTCAATCGACGGATTCAACTCGGCTGGGCAGCGTTCGGGAAATTACGACACAACTTCTACGTCTAGGTATACCTCAATCTCTGAAAACTAAAGTGTATAACCAGTGCATGTTGCCAGTGATGACTTACGGATCTGAGACGTGGTCCTTCACTGCTGGCCGTATGAGGACGTTCAAGGTCGCTCAGCGAGCTATGGAGAGGGCTATGCTCGGAGTTTCTCTGCGTGATAGCCTCAGAAATGAGGATATCCGCAGTAAAACCATAGTGACCGACATAGCCCAACGGATTAGTAAGCTGAAGTGGCAATGGGCCGGCCATTTAGCTCGAAGAACCGATAACCGATGGGGAAGAAAGGTTCTCGAGTGGCAGCCTTGTACCGGCAGGCGTAGTGTAGGGCGACCCCCCCACTAGATGGAGTGACGACCTGGTAAGACATGCAGGAAATCGTTGGATGCAGGTGGTTCAGGACCGTGCTTTGTGGCATTACTTGGGAGGCCTATGTTCAGCAGTGGACTTCTGAAGGGCTGTAATGATGATGATGATGAAGTTAGAATGGATTGTAACAGTGATAGGCAGACATAGATATTATGAAGACTAACCAATTATTAAGGTCAACATTATCCTTCGCGTTCTACATAAAACCTGATCAAAGTGAGATTGCCAAAATAGTTCCCGACATAATGTCTATATTTAATCGACGTCCTGTAATCGACCATAGTTTAAAAGAGCAAACAAAAGACTTTTGGTCGCAACATGTATCATGTATTCTTTAAAATAAACCTTAATTAGTTTGGATTGAATCATAAACTAGGAACAACATATATTTGTTTAGAGAACAAGTAACATTCACACAATAACGTTTGAGAAGAACAAACCAAATTGATTTAATTGTTCTTTATGAATTTGTACGAATTAACGTTCAAGCTTAAGAAAATGTAAATATATTTTTAACTACTTAACAGGTCACGTAATATTGTCTAGTTTCTCGTTAAAACAAAATTGGAAAACTTTAACATCATACGAATCCGAAAATCCAAAAATAGCAAGACTGAATGGTTTGCATGGATTAAGGTAAGATTATAGCTATTTTAATGTGGGGTGCAAGTAGAGTAAATAATTCTAATCGTTTAAGTCAAATGTGTATTTCATATATATAAGATATTACTTTCAATTTTTAAACAAGTGAAAACAAGTGGTATAATTAAAAATTTTGTACAACCGAAATTAATATAAATTAAATGAGAATATTATCCATGAAGTCAAAATCAATTAAATACGCGTTATAAACGATAACTAAAAACTATTGGTTAGATCTTGATTTAATTTACATAGGACTACATGAAAAGCGCCAACTTTTAAATAAAAAAATAATCGGATAAAACTACTTTTACGGATTTATTTCGAGTGTTTTCCACACCCATGGTGACGAGGGATATGGGTGCATGATAACGGACGACATGGGTGCTGGAAATCATCCGAAACGCCGGGTATTAAAATTAAGCAAAATAAACTCGACATAATTTGTAAAAGTAGTTTTATTCAAAAGAAGAATCATCAAAATTGGTTCACACACGTAAAAAATACAGTCGAATGGTGAAACTCCTCCTTTTTTGTAGTCGGTTGACTTAAACATAAATTTAAAATACGAGTACATGTATATAATGTGAAGTAGCATTACCAATATGGTATCGGTTATGCCCTCGTCAACCCACATGTTCAATGTGGTAAATATTCTATATATAGAAGAATATATAAAATATGGGCAAACTTATCATCATCAACAACAAATTACATATTTACTGCGGTAGTATATAAAGACTTAATAACATTTGATAGGATTTAATAATTTTATACTTGTAAGTAGAATATTTTTATTTTTTAATCAATTTACATTTTTAACAAATTTAAATCACTATTTAACGAACTAAAAAATAATTTCTAGTCTGAACTCTAAATAATATTGGCTCTTATAATTTTTTTCTTTAATTTCAGGTCTATTATCACCCAATTAACTTTATTAGCGCACAGTTTATTTACAATAACGACTTTTATAGATAATCCCCATGAAGTCGAAATGGTAAGATTTTTTGGGATGAATACGACTTCGTAGTATTCAAATGTTAATACAAATTTTATTCATATTGTAGAGCTACGAAAAACCTTTCTATTGTATAATATACAACGGTTTGGTAATGATGCAAATAGTTTTTACAATATCCGGATTCTTGTTGACTTACAATTTGCAAATCCGTAGTGAAAAGTACGAGATTAATTGGATTTATTTCCCTAAAATACTTATAATGAGGCTATGTAGGTAAGTGAATGGCAATTTTGTACCGCTATAAAATGTTAAATAAAGAGCCATTTTTATATCTATTAATCCACTACCCAATATCACTCCACGGATGTCCTAAGAGGCGACAGAGGGAAACAAAACAGGAGATGAGCAGCACCATCTTTCTAATAACGGCTTTAATATAAAAAATGCGGTAGTTTACGTAGCGTAGTAACCATAACAAATATCCACCCTAAGAGGCAATTTTCTCGCTTCGTTATAATATTATTTTTAATGTCTTCTACTTACCTAAAAATCTGTTTGAATTCCTAAATGACTCACATTTGAGACATTTGAAATAATCAGTAAATTTGATATTAAAAACGCCAGCTCACACTATCAAATTTTTGGACAGATATTTCACAATACAAGCTGTCAGATTATGGAATGGCTTCCCGTTATCAGCAAGACGCGCTCAATCCCTATCGGTTTTTTAAGAAACATGTACATGATTACTATTTTCAACTTTGGTTCTATCAATTTCATGTGTATATAATTCTACCTTTATCTAGTTACACTATTTGTTTATATGTATTGCACATTCATGTTATTAGAGATCGCTCTTAGCAATAAGACCGCCCATTGTACCACATTTCTTTCTCTCCTTTTTGTTATTATTTATACTTTTTTGGCGTGCGATAAAGTGCTATCTATCTAGCTATATATCAATCTATGGGGGAGGCCTATCTTCAGCAGTGGATTTTAAAAGGCTGCAACGGGCTTGACTACCATTTCGCCTGGTTGTAAGTGGTGTTCTAACTGTAGATGGTAGTACACATACAATGGCAATTTTTTAGATGATGGAGGACACTGGTTTAACTTAATTTTGAACTTATTTTTTTATTATATCGTTTACAAACGGCCAGTTCTATAAACTTTCAGTGTCGCCCTCGTATTCATTAAGAAATCGGAACTAAAGTAAATAAATACAATATGATAGTTTGTTAAGTGGTAACTTTTTGTTAAGGGCACAAACAAAGATACATAAATAATTAAGGTGTGGAGGACCTTATCGCCATTTAACATCAGATGTGGTCTAGGTCAAACGTTGACCAAATTACTAATATTGTTATATAAATGCTATAAAGTTCCCTATTAAAAGGCACTAAAATGTTTAAAGTCATGTTCAGGAGTATTACGTACGTGGCACAGTTCTCGTTCGCATTATAAATCATCATCGTCGTCGTTACGGCCCTTCATAAGTAATTGCTATTTTGTGTTGTAGGATAGTTCCAGCGTATGCAACTGTCCTATTTTTCACGTCTACCTGGTTCAAACATCTCGGATCTGGGCCGCTGTGGAAACTGTATGGGAGAGGAATTGCGGATGACTGTCGCAATCGCTGGTGGCACCATTTATTATTTATTAATAATTATACAAACATGAAAAACAGTAGTTGCCTCGTTCAGACATGGTATGATTTTTATTTTGTTTTTTTATTAAAAAGAATATTAGTAAAACTGATGTCCTAACTGTACGAAGTTGGCCGGTCCTCTTACGATCTTCAAAGTTTGAATCTTCAGTGAATCGTTTGATAGTGCGATAAACAAATCGTAGGGTTATTTTCAACTTATATAGAATATTTAAAAACCTCTTTTGGTGCGTAGCCACAGCGGTGTAACGCGATAACTACTACTCTATCTAGACACTTGGCTAGTTTTCATATACGAATTATATTATAGCCTTCGCAAGTTCTAAACCTCTTACTTGTCGGTTTTTATTTTATTATTCCTAAAATTTGGCTTGCTCTTAAAAACTAGCCATCGAACATGATAATTCGTATATGAGAACTAGCCAAGTCAGACCTTAGGCTACAATATATTATCCTAAGTTATAAGAAAAAATGATATTTTATATTGTTATAAATAAATTTCAGGACTGTCCATTGAACTTGGCACCCATTTAGACCTCACTTATTTTGTCGTTGAAGTCAACAACCAAGGCATATATCATAATGTTGAACTTGGCTCTCATTTCACATTTATGTTTTTGATGGGATCTTTTTTCTTCGATCGCTCCATATTTGAAAATTAATGAAAATTAATATCTTTTTTTATTTTCGGCAAGCGCAAAGGTTATATTTTTAAAATTGGTGTAGTTCATCTAACCAGTATTCAAAAAAATTAAATAATAAGGTTTTGACAGAACTTATGACCCAACTAAGTAAATAGAATTATTTTGTTACAAGTTGATCAAACTCGGATTATTTCGTTGCGAGTTGCTATAAACTGGATTAGTAGGCTTAAGTGGCAACAAGCCAGCCATTTAGAGATTGAAAAACCAACAACCGATAGGGAAGATGGGTTCTCGAGTGAGAACCTCGTTCCAGTAAGCTTAGTGTAAAGCGGATCTCCACTAGATGGAGTGACGACCTGGTAAAAGATAAAGAATGTTGATGGACTGAGGTGGCCAATAACCGTGCTTTGGAGCATTATTCAGAATACGCTTAATTTTAACAGTGGAGTTGTGATGGGCTGTAACGGTGATTATATTAATGATCAAATCCATAAGAGTAATTGTTAAAATCATCCGCATCACCTCATAAGTTGAATGTGTTTACACCGTACCATTCAAAACGTACTTTCAGGTTGGAGTGACATCACGTTTAAGATCTGTTGATTAGTATATCGATCGAAACCTAAATTTTGTAGAAGATAATTTCATCTCAGGTCAATTAATGCAAATGCCATTTTAGCAACTTTGGTGGACTAATTTCTTAAACTAATAATATATATTTATTACGTGGAGAGTATGGAGTATGGTGAGTGTAGAAAACCGGAGACCCTTTTTAATTGAAACGAGGCATTCTATATTCGTCCTCACAGGTGACAACACATCTCCATTATGATTCGTAATCGAGAAAATATGTAGATGTCTATGAGCCACAGCAACCACTTACCATTAGGTGGACTGTGTGCTCGTTTGTCACTGATATCTTATAAAAAAAATCAAAATTAAGGTATTTTGGTTTAAGTTGATCACCATGAACATCACCTCATATCGATCCAATTTACATTTAACCATTTTCAATATTTCTTACAATTAAAGAAAAACTATCCAAGTACCGGGAAACGGGCATTTATACCATAAATATTTTCATATAAATGGTTCTTCAGTACACAAAATACAAAAGAAAATCTTCACTTAATTTTTATAAGGAGTGTTTTTAACATTTGCAAAAGTTAGAAAAAGTTAAGACAGTATTTAAGAAGGACCTAAGTAATTAAGAAATACCATTTGAACTAAGGAGGAGGAGTCGATACAGACTTTAACAGGCAGTTGAGTAATGAACTTTGGTTTGTTAAGACCTATCAGTAAATGAAGCTTATATCAAAAACGAATCTTAAAAGTTTGGGGCTCATCAGTCAAAGAAGAAATCAAATATTTTTATTCAAAATTGTTTACAAAGAACTTTTTGAAAGTCGAATCCAAAGAGAGTGAATAATGAAGCAAACTAGCCCCTACAAGCGGCATGTCTTCACAAACATGAACAATATAGTAGCCATCGTTCTCTTCCACCATGCGTAGCTGTTGCAAGCAGATATTTTTATGCAACCATGAAATACCCATATCCGTCACACTGAAATATACATAAATATCGCTAAAAATACAAACTAAGTCAAATTACTGAACACACTTGTAGTTTTCTATTGGGTCACTTCCAATTTTCTCCTTAAACTTACTGTTTAGCTACATAATATAATTCATCGTTCCATACTTCTTTTCAACGATATTATTGTGAAGCTACCTAAATGTTGTGGATGTTCACAATATATTTAAATTCTATTCAGGCACGTGGCAGCGGAGATGCAATTATTCACCTTAGGGTTGGCAGTGCATATAGCCACGAGGCATTGCGGTAGAAGAATATTGTTGGCATTACTGCTGCTAGTGGGTGCCGCGTCGCCAGCACTACACGTCTTACTACATGATTTGGATCCACTTGTACTTGCAAACCCTGAGTATGTTGACATGGATTTTTTCTTTTAGTTTTATTTTGTGTTGATTCTTTTGATATCTTTTCCTTGTTTAGGACGATATCTCCAAGCTTTTTTTTACTGATCTACCAGACTATATAGGTACGTAGGGTAGGGAGGGGGAATAGCGCTCACTGTGTAATGGCGCTGACCTCTATATCTCTGTCAAAATGAAACGTAGCAACACGCCACGTCGCGTGAAGCGCGGGGGGAGGGGGCCTCTAACAGACAGCGATACAAACGGACAATCAGCTCGCGTCATACGACCGTGAAGTGCGTTTCTTCGTTTACGGCCGCGCTGATCTAATTTTTGGTTAGGTATTTTTGTCGGTAAGTCCAAAACTTTAATGCTTATTTAATTATTAATTTTACTTTTCTGACAATAAAACTATTCTATTTTGTGATAATGCAATCAATTTTCAACAATTGTGTAGGATTTTTTTTAAATTTTAAATTAATTACAAAACGACCGTTTGGGGTTATACCGCTCATCTGAGCGCCATTACCCCCTTAGTGACCTATTTTTTTATTGTTTTAGATATGCCAAGAAATCGTCAAAGGACCACCGCTAAAGCGGCTTGGACAGAAGAAAACCTTCAATCTGCTAAAACTGCGATTGAAGGAGGTTTGTCCAAAAGAAAAGCCGCAAAACAATATAACATACCATTTACTACTTTGAGATATCGACTAAAAAAATGAAAACATGAGCAACCCAAGACTAGGACGCAAGCCTGTTTTCACCCAACAGCAAGAATCTGAAATTGCTGAACAAGTTAAGATGCTGGGTTCGCTATACTATGGACTCAATGTCGCAGATTTGCGTAAACTTGTTTATAAATATGCTGAGCTCAACAATATTAAAAACAATTTTGATCAAAGCAGCAAAACAGCTGGATTGAATTGGGTACACGCCTTTATGAGACGCAATCCTTCAGTTTCTATACGCAAAGCTGAAGCGACAAGCTTAAATAGAATTTCTGCCTTCAACAAAGAAGAAGTAACACATTTCTATGATAAGCTTGGGGACTTAATGGAAAAACATAAGTCTTACAAGAGAAAAATTTTACAAGAAAGTTCTTCAGAGAGTGAAGATGAAGAGCACCTTTGTGACGATGACAGTAATGACGAAATTAATGTGGATGATGAAAATTATAACAAATGTATTTTTTGCGAAGAATTTGGAAAAAATAACGAGTTGTGGTATCGCTGCACTATCTGCGGACTGTGGGCTCATGCTATATGTTCAGAGTGGGATTCGCCAGATGGATACATCTGTGATTTATGTGTCCAAAAATAAAATATTTCTATTTCTAATTTGTCTTACCTCTAATAATAATTATTATTTTATATTACATTATAATAATTGAAGTTGATTTGACATCTAAGACTTTACTATATTTGTTAAATTGAAAAAGGCTAATCTTACGTACAAATGGGGATGATTGATGCTAATTTGTGATTGTAAACTACACTTTTATTGTATAAGGTTGATCTCATTAATATTTCTTTAATTAAAATGTATCTCACATGTTGTATTCCAAAAAATATGTTTGAGCGTCATTACCCCGTACCCTGAGCGGCATTACCCAAAGTCTGAGGCAATGCCGCTCAAACATGTTTTTTTACTAATGTTTTCCTACTACTAGCAGGTGAAAGATACATGCTTTTGTTGTTAAATTGTTGATTACTCAATAATTAAAGACTTTGTTACTTTTCTTCATTTTGATTTGTAATAAATAATTTAAAAAATACACCATGTTTTCCTTAAGTGAACGCCATTCCCCCTCCCTACCCTATTTGTAATTGGTTATTTCACAGTGACTTAGCGCGACGTGAGAACTAAGCCTTGTCGAGTGATTCGAGAAAATTTGAAAATTTAGCTATTTTGTAGCACTTATAGTCTTATTTGAAAGATGTATTTAAAAATCTTTTTATTTTTTTCGTAATCTGTTTCATATAATCGAGTAGTTTTAGAACGTTATATTTTTCTCAACTTTTTTTCAAAAACTGCTTAAAATATAAACTTGGACTTTTGAAAATCTAACACCATACTAGTCTCGTGACAATGTCATTGTGGCTGATTTTTATCGAATTTAATATAATAAAATAACGCAAAGTATTTATCTTAATTTCGCAGGATAATTAAGATAAGTTCTTTGGGAAGATTTGCTTTTACCTTGTGGTTGCGCCAAAACACACATTTGCATTTGTATTAGTTAGTTAGACTAGCCGGCAATGACCTCCCTTCTCATCCGTTCCTTGTCGCACGGGCCTGCCTAAGGGAGGGGTGGGGGTTTACATTAATGACCTCATTTTGTTCCTCCAATGGGAGGCGCGCTCGCCAAAAGTGAAAGAACGTGCGCTGCCATTGTCAAGCAGTGAAAACAATTTATTATCCCAGTGGCAGTCGAGCCACAATATACGAGTATACGAGTACAAACCTTCGTCGTAACCAGTTGATAGAGTGTAATTTCTTCGTGCAATAGTGCAAAAAAATTCGTAGTGGCGTTCAACAGTCAACCCCAGTGCATTTTTCGTCGCGCACCACTCGCTCAGTTGAAACACTATTTTCCTCGTCTCGAGTACTTGGAGAGAGGCCGCTAGTAGATACCCCAGGTAAGTGCCTGTTCCTTTAAATCTTGAGCTGTTTTATTTTCTTGTTCCCTTTCCGTAGCAGCTCATGTTTCTGTCGTACCGGCTAATGTCATACCGTCATCATCAAATTTATAGCAAGTTTATTTGTCCAAAGACCTCCACGTGCCACGTCCGCCATTTTGTTTTGGTTTATAATGAACCACGCAGATACATTCCACCTATTTATTCAACCTGCAATACCTTTAGTCATTCGTGCACCCATAATTTTGGGGTCATTCTCCCGGAATCGAACCAGGTACCCTGTGGCCCAACCATACTCATATTTGTAGTACTTCGATCCGAATTTGAATTAGCTCAACTACCTTGCCTGGCAAACGTTTGATATGCATCCGCAAAACTCATACCGCCATCTAACGAAGGTCACGTGATCTTTCTGGAGTTTCTGATAATCGCTTCTTATGACTCTAAAGAAGCCACGCGACATTATTAAAAGTTCAGCTAATTTGTATACTGCATCAGTCACGGTTTATGGTAGAGTATCCAGCTATCAAATTAGAAAGATTCTTTTCGTAAAGAAGTAGTAAAGACTCAGATAAAAATTAATCAAGAGATTGTCTTAGATCGTGCAGTGATGCCTCTTAGTGATACTTTTCAAAAACATACTGTACGCTTACCAGGAGCGCCTTGGTGGTTTTATGACCATTTTAGTGTGTAACAGAAGTAAGGACCATACTACGAATAGTAACTTTGCACCAATTAATGCAGAGAATTTGTTTTTTATTGTTATAGATTATTCAGGGAAAATCAAAACGATACCTTCTTTAAGATGCATATTCTTAGTCATAACAATTTAGCTGGGCACGTTGCTGGGATGATAACAGGTTACTTGATATATCATATGCAACAAAATGGTAAACCTGTTCGAAACAGTAAGGTAAGCATTTATATTACGACAGTTTTATTTCTATTTATTAGAATCAAGCACTTTTCCGAAAATAACGGTTACAAACGAGCACACTGTCCACTCGATGGTAAGCGGATGCTGTGGCCCATAGACATATATATTTATCCTCGATTAAGAATCAAAACGCAGAAGCGTTGTCACCCCTAAGGACTAATATGGAATGGCTCGTTTCCAGTAAAAAAGAGTCTCCAGATCTCTTCACTCATCATACAAAATACAGCAGTATTACGCTGTTATTTTACGCTGATATTCTGTAGGAGCGTGGTCCTTCCCCGGTTGAGCCATTTGTGCTACAACTATAATATAGCACCTGCAACGTGACATCCATATCGGTTATTATAGGTTTTTTTTAAATAAATTGTGTGTTTGACTATACACTATTTATACATTTATATACACATATATTCTATGTACAGTGTATACATAGTGTATAGACACATATACTATGCATACACTGTGTATAGAAAAAAGACCCGTACTAACCGATATTTCAACGGTGAATCTCAATAAAAACACACTCGATCTCATTCTGCGTAGATCGGAACAAAAATAATAATTAAACGTTAAAGCTAGCCTTCGTTAACTATGACATCGGGACGTGAAACACCTCAGTTCCTCCTGTGACTATGGGTACTGGAGAGTGCCTGAAACGTCGGAAATTAGAAAAGTTAAAATTAAATTCTGCAAATCCGTAAAATTAGTTTTATTCAATGCTTACCCCCAAATAAAACTGAAAAAGCCACCTAATACACTAGTATACTAATATTACAAAAAATACTACTATATGATTACCTTTAATCATACTGTGTCTCTAACTAAACCCTTCAGACCACCGCAGTGCACACACTGCTGCTTGGTGGTAGAAATAGGTGAGAGGATCAAATCATATGACATTCCATCAAAGTCTTTAGATGTGGCAACGCATCTGTAGCATTTCTTGTTTGAAGTTGGTTGCAGGCGTCCACGGATTGCAGTAACCACTAACCATCAGGTGCACTATAAGTTCGTTTGCTACTTCACTTTTATAAAAACAAGCTTTTTACTACTACACTGAGTATTGGTTCGGTCTGAACACCTTTCCCGGTGAGAGGTTTCCTTTTTTCCTACCATGGCCAAAATAAAAAAAAGATTATATGGAATGTAGATTTATTTTGGTGTAATTTAATCAAATTTTGACCAACTAATTTAATTGGTATTATAGTTTAGAGAAAACGCTTTAAATTACGTTTTTTTTTAAATGCCGCTGGGTTAATTGTTGGTTCTTCCCAGGACTAAGGTTTCTCCAAACTTATAAAAGAAAAACATGTGACTTTCAATAAGAATTATTTGTAATTTATATTAAATAAAATTATTTCATTCTTCTATTCAATGTTAAAGCGTTTGTTCTTAAACTTTTCCGATGAAATTAAATCCGAATGTAACGCTCTTCACGTTTTAATGTTTAAGTTGACAAAGGTTGTATATGACAATATATATTAGAAACAATATTAGACCTAATATGCTGCCTTGCGGCATGCCGAATGCTCAGAAACCGGAAGATCGGTAGTTATCTAGTTTTTAATCTTAACGTATTAAGATCGTTCTGTAAGGTAAAATTCAAAATAACTTGAATGTTTGCCTCTCATGCAAACTTGTGCAACTTATTTATTAAAAGTGGAATAGAAAGTTAGCCAAATGCTTTCGCAAAGACTATAGATATACTACGAGTAATATCTTTTTTCATTTTATTTATATGATGGTTTTTTTTTATATGATTTATATTATAATGTTGGTAAAAAATATGTCGATAGTTATTAACACAGTCCTTACTATTACATTTATTTCTAAGGGGATTGATACATGAACGATTTAAGTCAACATAAAACACTCCAGTACTTCTTAAGACATTTATACTCGTATATCATTTTACAAAAGCACATGAACTTTGTAGCTAGTGATTTTTTTTCTAAGTTGGGTGTAGAAAGAAGAGCAAAAGAATATATGTAAGAGTAAATTAATAATAGTCTTCGAAAAAACTATTAGATTATTTTTAGTGATTTCAGTTAATATTCTCCTTTCGTCTACAATACATTTATTATTTTACAGCTATTATTGGGCCAGTGTATTACATTATTACATTATCAGAAACAGGGATTTTAGGTTTAGATAATGGTTACTTCCATATTATATGAATATGTAATTTTGCAGCTTTTTTCCTTACTCATTTGGTGGATATTGCCTGCTTCAGTTTATGTATTCTTGTTGGGAAATATATTTTATATTGAAGGATATGAAGTATCTTTTGCATTCAAACTGCTGTATGCAGGCACACAGAGAGTTTTCGCAGGCACTATTGGCGCGATCATAATTATTGGGCTCGTATTCAAGTTAAATGGTGAGTGCAATTATATCATTTTATTTATATACAATTATAAAATATTTAGTTTTAAAAATTAAATTAAAAATATTTCATTGTCGTAACCATCATCACAACCTTTCACAAGTCCACACCTGAACATAGGCCTGTTACTCGTCTAAGAGCTAGGAACGTTTTCGACAGAGCATTTCGGATAGGCTAGTGTTTGAATATGCCTTCTCTCTCACTCTCCCGGCCAGAATACGGGCTAGGTGGCTGGCAGCGGAGGTTGAGTACATTAGTGCTAAAATAATAATTATTCAAATAGTTTTAAGATTAATTAATATAATTTTTTTCATTAAATTTATTTAACGTTTCAGGACATAAATATATTATTGCCAGATATTTTTATCATTGCGTACCATGTGCCAGATGCTAATTTAAATTTTCCCTGTCGGTTGTTGGTCCTTTTAGCTATATGGTCAATCAATTGCTTCTTCATTTTATTGATCCTTTGGGTTTTGTTGGTTACTTTGATTCTACTGCGGATATCCTCATAATGAGCGAGGTTACGCAGGTTACGAGGTAAAAAAGTGAACCTATGTGCATTGCTCTCTCTAGAGCTTGCTGCGGAACTTAAACTAGTCAAAGATTACACGACGACGACATTATGTTTGTTACCAGTGAAATTTTTTGAGACTTAGTTGATGAGAGAAAACTAAGAAAATTTTAGAAGGAATAATATCAGGTCTTAGAACATGTTATATGGATTTAATTTAAAAAATAAAATTTATATTCACACAGGGATGCCTGTGCTACATACTAAAAAATAATTTTCGTAAATCTGCTGATTTTCTAATAACAGAAAATTTAATTGTTTTAGACACTCTGTGCAGTATATTGGAGTGGCGCGGCTGGGTGATTCCTAGCAGACTTACGTATTCGATTTTTTTTAGTACACATGAACATTGCTTTTGTTATTCTTGGAACCAAAACGCAACTAGTACATACATCCATCTTTGTTGCGGTAAGTAACAAATGAAAAGATTTCTGATATTGACTTTCCCTTCATTATCAATATTATTTATTTCAAAGCAGCAGTGTAAAAGCAAAGTTACAGCGAATACCATTATTAAACGCACAACCTTCTTATATATTAAAGGAGACCTCGTTTAATTTTTTAGAGGGTTGTGCAGATAGTAGTCCGTATTTTTTAATTTCACAAACCTACAATTTTTCTCACAAGGTTTCTCTTCACTATTAATACATTAGCGTCTATAATCGCACTTGATTGTTGCCGACGAGAATTGAATCCATGTTGCTTAAACCTTTAACTGTCCACAAATGTTCTCTGAGATTTATGTTCATAACTCATTAATAAAAAAAATATAAGTGATTCTTTTAGAAAGCTTAACTTAAATGCAATACAAAATAATGCATTTTTCATCTTGTTGATATGCAAAAGTCTTTATTTACTTAAAAATAATGCGGCCAATACTCTATAAAGGCGGTATAAAAATATCCTTTACATCATTTCGTCACAAAGGTATCGTAAAAGGCGGCAGAAAGAAACAAACTAGGAGATGGGCAGCATCGTCATACAAGCAACAACTAAAAAATAAAACACTGAGGTTTCCACATCACCTTCCAGGGCGGCGATTAGGCCAAATATCCCCCCCCCTCCTTGTACTATCTAAGTGAAAGTCTATGTTCAGCATTGAACTTTGACAGGTTCCAATTTTCTTCTTTTTTTTAATAAAAAAACGTTACTTTCTCTTGTGTCGTGGGGGCAGTTTACAAACATAAATTTCACAAGGATAAACATCTACACCCGGAACAGTTACTTCTAGGCCATACAAATAGTTGTTCCGTGCGGGATTCGAACACGCGGCCCGTAGCGCTGTAACTCATTGCTAAGCGACTGCGCCACGTAGCCGTCTAATTGATGGACGAATGATGTGACTAACGATTGTGAAGTGCGGCTGAAGACAATATTTTAATATGGTACCTTTCTTCATAAGAATTATTTTTAATGCGCTTTTGATGAATGCAAATACAAATCTATCATTTTACAGCAATTTTACGGAATATTGCGTTAAATAAAGTAATCTACTTAAATATGAGCCGCCAGTTTTATGTAGCCTGTATTTCGTCATTAGTCTAGTAGTTATAAAGGTGAGTTGAAATAAAAAAAAAGTGCAAAAAAGAGTTGGTCAAGTGGTATTGGATTCGAATCCTGCGACGGACCAAAAATCGTGTCTTTCCGTTAAGAAGTCTTAGTTGTAATCTGAAGTGAGGAAGTTTGCAGTTTCACACGCCCGTGCCTTAGAAAACAAGTAAAGCCGCTGATCTTCGACCGGGTTTGATTACCATAACAATGGACTATGAGAGTGAGGAAATAGAGAGTACGTGTACACTCATGCACTATAATTCTATCCTGCGGCTAGTCTTCGTTGATAGTTTTACTATTACTGATTCAGTTATGTAATACTAGAAACCCATATTGACAGCACACTATAACAAAAAATTTGTTCTTTTTCAGTTTATGAATTATGTTGTTATGGCAACAATGTCATTTATAATACCTTTGCCGCTTTATTTAACCGTCGAAGCGCCTGTTAACAAGATGGTAAAGACAATAATCGACCAGCAAGATGATCAGTATTCTAAGATGAAAGAAAATTGATTAACATTAAATCATTACCTTCACTTAACGAGTTTCATTTGATATTACATTCATTAAGAAGCTGTTGAAAATATTGTAATGTAAGAGGGGGATATTAAGCTGGCCTCTTGCGTACGCAGCAAGAAAACAGCTTAACGCGCTACACATTCATCGTAACGCAATAACATTATATTATTATGCAATTATAGTTTTGGACGTAATTAAATAGTATATTAAGAATATATTTTAGGATAAAATTACATTAATAATCAAAATTTTTAGGGTATAATGTAATTACGTCCAAGTCCAACAAGTATTTGCCATGTGGTGGCAGCACAAGACAATTCATAACCCCATTTCATCTCGTGTGTGTGGTAAGTTTAAAATTTGAAAGTTACAGCAAGGAAGTGTCCACCGTGCTACCACAATGCTTGTTGATCATCGGCTCCGACATGCAGGTTTCATCACGATATTTCACTTCACCTTTAAGCACGTGGTAAATCAGCACCCATTTCAGTTGACATTTTCGTCGGCACCGGCGGAGATTGAACTAGGACAGTTCGCGTGCTGTGAAATTTACAGCGAGCGGTTATCCCCCTGAGCAATTAAGATACAGTGTCGTAAGAAGCGGCTAAATAATAAATGCATTTAATTATCAACACTCAGAGCTTAATTAACGATAAAAATGTTTGTTACGACTCATTCAACATTGTAAAACCACGGATATGATAATTAAAAAAATATAAATTACAAGGCGATAAAAAAGTGATAACGAGGGTTTTAAAGTCCTAAAAATAAAACTCACACACATGGATTGTGCAATTATCCATACAAATATGAGTAAATAAAATTGAAGTGTCTGTCCGCAACATTAAAATAACTGGTTTCTATGAAGCAATTTGCATGATATTAAGTCATTGTAAAATTTTAAAAAATCTGTCAGTCTGTCTGTTTGTGGCCGTGAAAGGAAAAGGGAGATCTCCCGCCGGGCAAGGTGTTCTGCCCGGGCGGCCAACGCTCCGAGTAGTAGTTATTAGGTCTTTAGTGTCAAAATTGAGCAAGATATTGAGGTGTGGCAATACCTTCTAAGTTATTCTAAAAAAAATTGCTGGCAATTTATCCTATCTAACCCGTGGCACGTCCGTTTCATGGTGATCTAGTAGCTAGTAGCCGACTGAATGACGGTTAATTTTCGCACGACTCATCTAGCAGGTTGAAGTTAGTTGTGTATGGGATGAGTGAGACGCATGATAATGTGTGGAAGAGAGCAACAACATAGTCACTCGCGCATAGCATTGTTTGCGCGCGTATTATTTGCAGCGCGTTCGAGCAAATTGAACGTCCGAACGTTGAAAGTCGATCGAATTTTCGTATTTTTTTGTGTGATAATCCGAGTATTTTTGTGACAGTGCGCTAGTTTGGTAGTTTCTCGCAAATAAATGCCTATGTTGGACTAACTAATGTTTGCCTTCATCCACAATCACTAGCTGCTCAGAGCTCCTATTTAGCTGATGATGACACAATATCTTCATAAAAAAAACTATCACACAACTGGCAGTGCAGCAACCGTTTAACCAAATCTTGGTCGCTTTCTAACCGGATTTGAAGGATGATACCGTGAACCCCTTCAGCAGCTTGAAAAAAACGATGTCATTTCCTCTGCTGAATCAGAATTGTGAAGCTGTCTATTCTCATCTTGATAACCCTCCACTTTGGAGAACCTTTCATAATGACTTAGCAAGTCTTAGTGGTAATGATTATGACACAGAAACCGACATTGATACAGATACATATATTAAGGATATCAACGAGGGTAGGAAGCGTCGCCACAAGGCCTTGCCAAATACGTGGAAAAGAAACAAAGCCAAATTACGTAGGATGCAAGGAGTGCAGTACTTAGGATATTCAAAACCAGCAAATAGAAAAATTTTACAGGATACTTTAAGATCTGCTCGAATAATAGGAGAACGATGCAAGTCTGATTATTGTGTTAAAAGTAAGTTAAGAGAGTGTTCTAAAATAAGTGAAGACTGTAGAAAACAAATACAGATTCTTTTGGAAGCAAATGAATTGGTATCAACGCAAAATCTATGTTAACTCATTAGTGAAACGATCAAAAACTGCACAAAAAACTACAAACAATGTTCATTCCAGGCGTACAGAAACTGCATTATATTTTTTGGCCTATCAATAGTGACGGATCAGAAAAAGTACAAGTGTGTAGAACTATGTTCCTTAACATGCTTTCGCTGGGAACTTTTACTGTACTTTCTTGGACAAAAAATAACGAGTTTGGTATGACACCACATCAGAATTAAGAAATTTAGTACCTACGCAATCCTACACCAAGATCCGATAATACGCAAAAGTTATTGACGTTAAACAACTTTCTAGATAATACTCCGAAATTACCATCACATTATGCTCGAAAAGATACTACTAAGTTGTTTTTAGAACCGTCATTCCAATCTTTCACAGACATTTATAGAATGTTCTAAAAATACTGTTCCGAAAATGAAGAACCGCCTTATTTTCGGAATTTAATTTAATTAAAAATATTTTCTTATTTCCGTTTGCAGATATACTTTTGAACAACAATTTAAAGCAAAAATGTTATCATTGTACACTCTTAAAAAAGATATGTGTGATATTTTTACTAGTTTCACAGCAGGCAATTTGAGCGAGACTGATTATCAAATGCATATTATAAAAAAAGAATAGAGCTAGACAAGAAAAGGAAATTGATAAACGAAAGCTACTGACGGGGAATTTATTTTACTGAGTATGGATTTGGAATCTGTAAAGGTTTGTCCCTTTTTAACCGCTAGTGCATTATACTTTAAAACCAAATTAACAGTCCATAACTTCACTAAGTACTAAGCTTATTCGAACAATGTTTCACTAAAAGCGATTATTAAATAGTGATTATTCAATCAAAATACAGTTTTTTTTCGTTGCAATACCTGCTATTTCAAGAAAAGAAAAAAATTAAAAAAATTCCTCCTATGTAGTAATATTTCAGAAACCTGTAATATTTCACTATAATTAACAATACAGTCTTATTTCTTATCTTCTTGTAACAAAATTAAAACTTTACAATGTTCCAAAAGTATACGTAAAACTAAGAGAAACGTTTTTTTCGTCTCCTGTAGTGTTTTTTGAGTTAGGAGTAATTGCCACTTCGTCGTCGATATACTGTTTTTACTTCGAAACTTTGATAGCGCGATTTAGGCTACGATGCGTTTCGCATGTTCAAGACATGGCCGCCACATGTTCTTTGATTATCTTTGAATAGAAACAAAAAACAGAAACCAGTAACTTTTATATTTAATATATATTATTTAAATAATTCTTAACTGTACTATAAGTGTTTGTACAGTAGGGCTACGATGGCTATCCGAGTAAAGAACCAGAGCACGAACCCTATCCAACTGCAGAGAGGTGTAAGACAGGGTGACTGGTGACGTTATGTCCCCAAAACTCTTCACCTCTACATTGGAAGATGTTTTTAAGCTAATGAACTGGAAAGGATACGGTATTAACATCAATGGTGAGTACATATCACTCCTATATATACTCCGATATAGTCCTTATGGCAGAATCGTTGGAGGACCTAAGCACTATGCTGAATGACCTCAACCATGTCTACCAACGGGTATGTCTTAAGATGAACATAGACAAAACAAATATCATGTGTAATGTCCATGTCACACCTATGCCGGTAGTTGTTGGGAGCACTAAGCTCAAAGTTGTCGACGAGTACGTTTACCTGGGACAAATAGTCCGACTAGTCCAACTTTTACCAAGAGGTCAATCGACGGATTCAACTCAGCTGGGCAGCGTTCGGGAAATTACGACACACCTTCTCGTCAGGTATACCTCAAAACCTGAAAACTAGATTTTACAGTTGTGTTGCCAGTGATGACTTACGGATCTGAGACGTGGTCCTGTAATGTCCATGTCACACCTATGCCGGTAGTTGTTGGGAGCACTAAGCTCAAAGTTGTCGACGAGTACGTTTACCTGGGACAAATAGTCCGAGTAGTAAGTCCAACTTTTACCAAGAGGTCAATCGACGGATTCAACTCAGCTGGGCAGCGTTCGGGAAATTACGACACACCTTCTCGTCAGGTATACCTCAAAACCAGAAAACTAGATTTTACAGTTGTGTTGCCAGTGATGACTTACGGATCTGAGACGTGGTCCTTCACTGCTAGCCGTATGAGAACGCTCAAGGTCGTTCGGCGAGCTATGGAGTGGGCTATGCTCGGGGTTTCTCTGCGTGATAAACTTAGAAATGAGGAAAACCGCAGTATGACCAGAGTGACCCACGTAGCCCAACGGATTAGTAAGCTGAAGTGGCAATGGGCCGGCCATATAGCTCTAAGAACCGACAACCGATGGGGTAAAAAGATTCTCGAGTGGCAGCCTCGTACCGGTAGGTCTAGTGTAGGGCGATCCCCCACTAGATGAAGTGATGACCTGGTAAGACATGCAGGAAGTCGATGGATGCAGGTGGCTCAGGACCGTGCTTTGTGGCATTCCTTGGGGGAGGCCTATGTTCAGCAGTGGACTTGTGAAGGGCTGTAATGATGATGATAATGATATTAAAAGTCACTCTTTTGTTTAATTTACCACTGGTTTGGAAAAAAACTTCTGTCCGGGAAAGAACCAGATACATACCCAAACGAGTATTTAAAAAAAACAACTTACAATCATGTATTTTACATAATTAACAACACAAAACAAATTAGAAATAGCTTGGTAGAGAACACTTCATTCTCAGAGGTTAATATCATCCATAAATTCCTTAATATTTTAATAACCCTTTTTATACAAACCTTGTTTAATAAAGTTTTTTTTTAACTTTGAGCAAGTTATTTAAAATAAATAACACTGGTTGCGCCTAGGTACAACACCCCTTCATTTGGAGTACGTCGTTGTATTCTTGTTAAATATATTAGCCGGCAATAACTTCCCTTCTCATCCGTTCGTTTCCCACACGGACCTGCGTAATGGGGGGGGGGAGATATACATTAGTCGCCTTATTTTGTTCGCCCAACGGCAGGCACGCTCTGCTTCGATGGAGGTGAAAACGGCCGAAAAAGTAAAAAGACGTGCGCTGCCGCCGCTCGCTCAGTTACAAAGACTAGAAATAGAAATAGAAATAGAAACTTTTTTATTCAATGTAGATTATAAAAATACTTATTGAAGGTCTCTTTTTTTAATTTACCACTGGTTCGCAAAAAAAAACCTCTGTCCTGGGAAGAACCAGCAAGAAACCCAGCGGGACTATTTTTTTCCAATAATAGCTTACAATCATGTTTACAATCGACAACACAAGACAAATTAGAAATAGCTTGGTAGCGATCACCCTTCCCAGGGGTTATTATCATCTATAAATTCCTTAATATTATAATAACCCTTTTTATACAAACTTAGTTTAATAACATTTTTGAACTTTGTGTATGACAAATTTTGTATATTTTCTGGGATTTTGTTGTAAAAAGCGTATACATCGCCCCAAGAATGAATTACTGACTCGGTGGAGTCGAGTAACTGGTACTACCAGCTTGTGTCTGTTCCTAGTATTTACAGAATGAATATCACTTATTTTCGCAAAACTACTTTTATTTTTGTGTACGTACATTACATTTTCATAAATGTATTGAGAGGCCAGAGTTAATATATTAATTTCTTTAAATTTTTGTCTCAGTGACTCTTTTGGTTTTAAATTATATATTGCTCTAATGGCCCTCTTCTGTAAAATAAATATAATTTCAGTGTCAGTCGCGTGTCCCCATAGCAAAATACCATACGACATAATGCTATGGAAATAACTGAAGTAAACTATTCTAGCTGTTTCAACACTGGTAAGAGTTCTAATCTTTTTTACAGCATATGCTGCAGAACTAAGTCTGCTAGCTAGTTTTGATATATGGGGGAGCCATTGAAGCTTTGCGTCCAGTGTGATTCCAAGAAAAATGGTGGTATCAACAAGACTCAGTTCCTCCCCATTTAAAATTACATTAGTATTGACATGTTTAACATTAGGAGTTACGAATTTCATACATTTAGTTTTAGTTCCATTTAAATGCAAATTATTAACATTAAACCAATTGAATAACTTAGCTATAGCATTATTTACTTCGTCGTAATTTAATAACTGTCTTTTTAATTTGAAAATTAATGAAGTATCATCAGCAAATAATACTATATCATGGTTATCCCCTACTATGTAAGGTAAGTCATTAATATATACAAGAAACAGAAAGGGGCCAAGAATTGAGCCCTGAGGCACGCCCATTTGTACAATCGACCCAGAAGAACTCATACTATTAATAACAACTTTTTGTGTTCTGTCACTTAAATATGAAATAATTAATTTAAGAGCATCATTTCTTATACCGTAGTGTTGAAGTTTCCTAATTAATGTTTCATGGTGAACACAATCAAAGGCCTTGGATAGGTCACAGAACAAACCCAAAGCATCCTGTGAATTCTCCCATGCATTAAATATATATTTAATCAGCTCAACACCAGCATCAGTTGTCGAGCGACCCCTTGTGAAACCAAATTGATTTTTATGAAGTAATTTATTTACATTAAAAAAATTAACAATACTACAATATTATATAGGGAAATGGACAGGCAGCTCTCACTTTTCTTTTATTAACGACAAAAAAGCGCGAATTTAGTGGAGCTTAAAACAGGTAATTTGTTACATTGGCGAAATGAATGCCGAAACTATTAGAAAGTTGTATAAGTGTCAGTATCAAAGCAATAAATACAGGCCGTACGCATTCGACATTAATTTCGCGAATGTAACAAATTCCCAGTTTTAGCTGCATAGATGAATTAAATGTAACTGGGAATCTTAGAAAAAATGCAGTTTGTTTTTTAAAGATTTATTCTTGCAAACTTTTATATAATTAATACTTATTGAAAGTCACTTTTTTAATTTATACTTGTTCGGTAAAAAACCTGTCTTGGGAAGAACCATCAAGAAACCCAGCGGGACTTTTTTTAAATAAGTTTATAATTTTTATTGTACATGCATGTTACAATTAACAACGAAACAAATAAGAAATAGCTTA